TCCTCGGCTCCAGACCCTCCCTTTACGCCCCTCCCACTCTCTCCACTCCCTCCTGGCAGTCGAGCTTTCTCCGAGGACTTGGGCCACTGAATATTCCCTTTCCCATTCTCCCACTCCTCTCATCCCAACTCTGGACTTTTCCTGGACAGCCTCTCTAAAAGCCCTTCCTGTCTTCGAGGGACAGCCCCTGTTGAGGTCTCCAAAGCCTTACTCTCCCTAGTTCCTCCCTCGGACTGCCCCTGGGTTTGTGACCCAGCCCACCGCTCCCCCTAGTGGCAACGGGCTGGAAATGGCTGAGGGGCTACCTACAGTTTGCAGCCTGCCAGGGAAAGGGGAAAGGGAGAAAGGGGGCGGGGCCGAAGGGGCCGGGCCTGGCCCTGGGGAGTGAAAGCGAAAGCCCGAGCCGCTAGCCCGGAGATCTAGCAAGTGGAGCAGCATGGCCAAGGCTTGTGGGGTGCGTTTGAGCGAGGAGGCCCGCAAACAGGTAAAGGGGAGCCGGAGAACAGGAAGGGGACAGGGAGACCTCCTAATGGAAGCCAAGCTGGGTGCTCCATGGGAGCAAGGCGATTCCAGAGAACTCCCCCAACCTCTCTTTAGTGCTTTTGCTTCTGCCCGGGATTCCCAGATTTCTATCCTCTGGCTAGTCTGCACTGAGCAGAAGCTTCCAGGGAAAACTGGCTGGTGGGAAAAGCCTGAGCCACAGTTGGCGGCCACCCCGTTGGGGCTGGGATCTTACTCTTGGCACCCGAAACCCTTAACCAACATCCGGGTACTGTTCTCTGTGCAGGTAGATGTCTTCAGACAAAATCTTTTCCAGGAGGTAAGTCTTTACGAATTCGAACAATTTGACCCAAAACCTTGGAGTAGTATTTTTGCATCACAGCCTCTTAGAGTAACCCCCAAACTCATCCTAGACTTGGTCCTTACTTCCCTTTACCAAGCTTTCACCCAACATGAGCTCTTACTTACTGATTTCTTCCTTTAACTGGACCCCTCTTAAAGCTTTTCCCACCTCTGCCACTTCCTTTCCTATCTTTTGGAGAGGACCGAAGGCATGGCCCCAAAGCAGGAATACCATGTTCTAAACTTGGTTCTGCCACTTACCGGCTTGGGCAAGTACCTACATTTCCAGGGCTTCGGTTTCCTCATTTATAAGCCTAGGACTCAGTGATTTCCAAGGGGCTGTTTGGTCTCACTTTTCACATATCTCATCGTTCATCTTCTGATTCCCCACCCTTGCAATGTAACCCACAGGCTGAGGAATTCCTGTACAGATTTTTGCCACAGAAAATTATATACCTGAGCCAGCTCTTGCATGTGAGTAGTGTGGGCCCTTTCTGCCCCATCTATGACTGCCTTCTTTGCTCACATTCTCAAGCTAACAACTGAGTTCAGCATGCAGAGAACAGTTATGAATGGTGGATTGAGAATGTTGGCCTGGTATGAGCCCGAGCCTAGGTTGAGAGGCAGAGGGCAGACAATCCATGGAGGGAAGGCTGTGACTCAGGGTGAGAGGAAGGGGTTGGGTAGCTCTGACTGAGCTCTGTGCAGGAGGACTCCCTCAATGTGGCAGACTTGACCTCCCTCCGGGCTCCCCTGGACATCCCTATCCCAGACCCTCCATCAAAGGATGATGAGGTGAGGCACTCGGGGTTTGGGGCTATAAACCCAGTGAAAATGATAGTCCTTTAACCTCCATGACTTTTCTAAAGCTACTTTCCCCCTTTTTGCCCTAGATGGAAACAGATAAGCAGGAGAAAAAAGAAGGTAATGGATGAGGGGATAACTAGGGAAGGTGAAAGGGCACATTGACTACTTGATGCGAAAGGACTTGAATTTCCCCTTTCTCACAGTCCCTAAGTGTGGCTTTCTCCCTGGGAATGAGAAGGTCCTTGCTCTCCTTGCTCTGGTTAAGCCAGAAGTATGGACTCTCAAAGAAAAGTGCATTCTGGTAAGCTGGGGAACTGGGAAAAGTGGGAAGAAAAGACAAGCAAGGCTCAGTCCTGGTAACCTTCAGGGATACAAGTACTTCATTTAGAGACCTGGTCTTCATCAGGGATACTTCTTTTTGTGTCTTGGGTTTAGAGCCTATTTTCCTCATTCTCTTAGACCTTGTATTTTTCTTTTTTTAATTAAAAAAAATTTGGACCTCATAACAGTACCCTTGAAATCAGAGACTATGCTATATCCACCTCTATAACTCTAGAACCTACTGCTGTACCTGCTACACAGTGCAAATGATATAATATAGTAAGTTAGTTTAAAAGCTTGGGCTCTAGAGGGAAACTGAGTTCAAATCCTGACCCTATCATTTACCCAGCTGATATCCTTAAGTAAGTGACTTAGACATTCTGTGACTCAGTTGTTTTGTCTGTTAAATTGGCACAATAAGAATATATACCTTGGATGTTTTGTTTTTTTTGTTTTTTTGTTTTTTTGTTTTTTTGTTTTTGGTACCGGAGATCGAACTTGGATCCTTGCACTTGTGAGGCAGGCGCTGGAACCACTGAGCTAAATCTCTGGCCCTTTTTAAATGATATCCCACATTGTAGGTTGTCTCTTAGCTCTGTTAGTGGTTTCTTTTGCAGTGCAGAAGCTTTTTGCCAAGGACTTTTTTTTTTTTTTTTGGTACCGGGGATCGAACTCGGGACCTTGTGCTTGCAAGGCAGGCGCTGGAACCACTGAGCTAAATCCCTGGCCCTCCTTGGATGTTTACTGTGATGATTAAATGATAAATAATTCATAGCACAATGCTGGGCACATGATAAATGCTCAGTTATTAAAAAGTGGCATAATAGGAAGAACCTAGTAGGTTGATTGAATGATTCCTTCACTTAACATAGGTAATTGCATGGATCCAGCATCTGATCCCCAAGATTGAGGATGGAAATGATTTTGGGGTAGCAATCCAGGTAGGAAAAGGCTGAATGAGGCTGGGCATGGTGGTGGACATCTGTAATCCCAGCTGCTCAGGAGGCAGGAGGAATGGATGTTTGAGGTCAGCCTAGACAATTTAACAAGACCCTCTCTCAAAAAAAAAAAGTAAAAAGGCTAGACATATAGCTCAGTGGTAGAGTGCTTGCCTAGCATGCATGAGGCCTTGAATTCAGCCCCCAATTTCAGGGGGTTGGGGGTTAATGAGGACACTGAGTGAGGAGACTTGGGACTGATAGGTGGCAGGCATGAACTATGAGAAGAGAGAGTGAGTGAAGGAAAAAGATGAGGTGTTTTCTTTGCATCCTATGTCACCACAGGAGAAAGTTCTGGAAAGGGTGAATGCAGTGAAGACCAAAGTGGAAGCCTTCCAGACAACCATTTCCGTGTGAGGGCCCTGGAGTACCTGCATGGGGGGCTGCCGGGATACTTCTTTTTTTTTTTTTTTGGTACGGGGGATCAAACTCGGGACCTTTTGCTTGCTAGGCAGGAGGTAGAACCACTGAGCTAAATCCCCAGCCCTGGGACGCTTCTTTGGTACCCCCAAAGCTAGATAGTCCCATTAGAATGATGGAGACTCTGAGAAGGTGTGTGCATTCTAATCCTCTCTCTGAATACACATTCCTGTGGTACCCCTTGCTCTGGCAGGTACTTCTCAGAACGAGGGGACGCTGTGGCCAAGGCCTCCAAGGAGACCCATGTAGTAAGTGCATAGTCCCAAGCCTCTTAGCCGTGGCTGGTGAGGGGTGGGACTGGGGGCAGGGCGAGGAAAGAGGTTCTTTTTATCTTATTCATGACTTTTGCAGTGGGTAGAATATTAAGCCAAAAGCATAGCCTACTTTAAAAAAAGAAAGTAACAACCCAAAACAACAACAAATAAAAAGAAAAACATAGCCAGACATGGTGGTACACACCTGTAATTTCAGCACTCAAGAGGCTGAGGCAAGTGGATCACTGGAGTTCTAGGCCAGCCTGGGCTACATAGTACCTAAGGCCAGTCTGAACTACATAGTGAGACCCTTTCTCAAAAATAAACGTAAAAACTTACAATGAAAAAGAGAAAAAAATATGTGAAAAAGAAAGTTGCCTAGAAAAGTTGATCTGGACTTCAACAGTCTTGACACCTTTCCCTGCTTGATCCTATGGATCCTGTTTCTTGGTGCTGAAAAGGGACTTATCTTCAAGTTACCTATTTCCTACATGAAGAAACCAGACTAATGTGCCAGCCTCCCACAGGGCTGACTCAGCTTTGCCTCCCATATGCCAGATGGATTACCGGGCCTTGGTGCATGAAAGAGATGAGGCAGCCTATGGGAATCTCAGGGCCATGGTGCTGGACCTGAGGGCCTTCTATGTGAGTGTGGAATAAGCCCCTGATGGAGATGGGTAGAGGGGCTTGGGAAGGCCAAGAACTTAACTCCTGCTCCTCTTGCCTTCCTCTAGGCAGAGCTTTATCATATCATCAGTAGCAACCTGGAGAAAATTGTCAACCCAAAGGGTGAGGAGAAGCCATCTATGTATTGAGCCCAAGACTAGAAGGAAAATAAAGGATCTGTTCCTTCTGTGGATTATCTCTGGTGTGTGTCATTGATGATAGCATATATTGAGTGCCATGTATGTCCAGACACTGAGGTGAATGTGGTAGGGGGAATGTGAAGAGATGCTGATTGCATAATCCTCCACCCTTTTAACTGAGGCCAGCAAGGAGCGGGATGTCAGCCTTGCAGATAATCCACATTTTGGAATTTCACAAGGTTATTTCCATGTGGTGGTCTCATGGTCAAGGTGATATTTGGGAGAGACCTTATAGGAATGATTAGGAGAGACAAAGGGAAGCTCTGTGGCTGAGGTCCACAGAGCTGTATCAGTTTGATCAAGCCTGAGGGAGAATGAGATTCCTGGGAAGATTGAGTGTGGAGGCAGGAGCTTTGTTAAGTTTGAACTCAAGCCTGGGCAACTTAGTGAGAAGCTGTCTCAAAAATAAAAAGGGTGGGGCCAGGGATTTAGCTCAATTGTTCTGGCGCCTCCTTGGAAAGCGCAAGGTCCCGAGTTCTATCCCTGGTACCAAAATAAAGGGGAGGGGGGTTGGGGGATGTAGCATTTAATTCCCAGCACCAAAATAAATATTAAATGAATAAAATAAGGGTAAATGGCCTTCTGAAGGGGTGGCAGGGGGAAAGTCCTTCAAAAGCATTATGGTAGGGCAAATTACCACAGGACATTAAGGATGATTTGTACGTTTTTATTTTTGACTCTTGCCCTCATTCAGCCTTTTGTCTTTGTATATTCCTTTCAGATTCTGCTCTGAGAGTGGTAGAGGCAAGGGTTCCTCTACTGTGATCTTTGCTATAACTTCATGGAATTAATTGTTCTTTTAACTCGGGGACTTGTCTCGTTTTAAAATATGGAATAAGAATGTACTGCACAACTCTTGGCAGTTTGGGAGTCTGTGCCCACATATCTCTTTTAATAGGCAGCAGATATTGCCTCAAGGAAACCAAGTGCCTGCAGTTGGGAAGGTAACACAGCTCATTTGTCAGTGACAGCTGGTCTAGAGTGTCGATCCATTCATTCTAAATAATACCAGCAAGCCCAATCTTCAAAGTCTACTGGTACGGGACCCGGGTGAGTCTCCCAGGGGCCTGTGGGGGACGGACAGAATAGGTAAGCAGAAGAGCACCCAGCAATCAAGAGCCAAAGTGAACCTAGCCAAGAACCATGCGATTTTCTTCCGGTACAATAGTGCGTTCGCTTCAGTTCCCTTGAAATAAAGGCGGGGTCAGACTTGGCTGCAGCAGCTGATTGAACACAATGAGAACTTCTAGGCCTATCAAAGAGTACTACGTGGGCGGGGCTGCAGCTGCGGGTACAGCCAGGAGCAGGCGCAGATCTGCTCTGCCCGGCTAAGGACTGGGGGTGCGGGGGAGGGGGCAGGGCTGGGTGTCGCGGGATGTCCTGAAGACCGGGTTGGCAGCACTGGGGACAAGCTCGGGACAGGTGGCACGGAGCAGTCACCGTGGAACCTCAGCTAGGGGGGCACAGGAGAGGCCGAGCTCGGTTGCGTGGGGCGGGGAACCCCAGTCATCGGGCTTGCAGCAACCTCCGCAGGCCCTGCTCGCCATGGGGGAGGTGGAGATCTCCGCCAGGGCCTACGTGAAGATGTGCCTGCACGCAGCCCGGTACCCGCACGCTGCGGTCAACGGGCTGCTGCTGGCACCAGCGCCGCGGTCCCGAGAATGCCTGTGCCTTACCGACTGTGTGCCCCTCTTCCACAGTCACCTGGCCTTGTCAGTCATGCTGGAGGTCGCCCTCAACCAGGTGCGGCCGCTGGACGCCAACCCGCACCGCAAGCCCCCTAACTCCCCTAGGGCAAGTTCGTGCCAAACCCTTGGCAGCAGTGCGCACCCACAGAGCAGGCGGTGCGGTTCAATTACTGATGGCCCCTTTCCCACGACAGGTGGATGTGTGGGGCGCGCAGGCCGGTCTTGTGGTGGCTGGGTACTACCATGCCAATGCAGCTCTGGACGACCAGAGGTGAGTGGGAGAGCCAAAGACAGAAGGCCAAGGATTGTGTCGGGGGTGGGCTGGGGTGCAAATAAACCAAGGTCATTCTTTCTGTCTGGGTCAAAAGCTTAGGAGCAGTGTCTGTACCCCAGGCACTATGCTGGGCACTGGAGTGTGAAAATACAGGAATGAACAAGGCAGACTCCTGCCCCGAGGAGCTGTTTTAGGGGTGGGAATGGCAAATGTGTTTCAACAATGACAAGAAAGATGATCTTGCTTTAATTGGTGCCCCCAACTAGCAACTTAATGACTTTATACATTATGTATATATCATGTAGAGAGATCAACTTAAAAATACTGTGTTATAGTTTTGTAATTTGGTTTACCCCCCCCCCACACACACACTTAATAAATATTAGAAGATAAGCCTGGTGGTACAGGCCTGTAAATCCAGCACTTTGGGAGGCTGAGGCAGGAGGTTTGAAAATTTGAACCCAGATTGGGCGATTTAGAGACATATGAGACCTATCTTAAAATACAAAATAAAAAGTGGGCTGAGGATGTAGCACAGTGCAAAGGCCCTGGTTCAATCACCAGTACTGCAAAAATAAATAGGTAAGTCCTTGATATCTTTCCAGCTCCACACCAAAATCTACCTTAACAGCTGTACCGGATGAATATGAGTAATTATAATTTATTTGATATCTTACTCTAAACATTGAGGTTGTCTCCCTGTTTATAGTATCCTGTTACAGTAAATTCTTCATAAATGGAATTTATTTAGCGTATGTATAGTATACAGTTTCAGTTTGGATGGTTATGTCAAATTACCCCCAAAAAGACCACCTCTGATTTCCACTCTCACCAGCAGTGTCTGAGCGCCTGTTTCCCACAGCACACAAGCATCAAGGGGGCCTAACCCCCAGGCCAGCCACAGGGAAAGACCACAACTGCGCCCACATCCATGAGATCTGGGAGGGTCTGTCCACAGTGGATCCTCACTCCTCTGATCTTCCCTCTGCACAGCCCTGGGTCCCTGGCCTTGAAAATCGCTGGGCGAATTGCAGAATTCTTCCCTGATACAGCACTTATTATGGTGAGGCTTAGGTTTCAGGGCGGGAAGGTCGAGAAAAGGAGGGAGGAGGATCCTTGAAACTTTCACCTGCCTTTCTTTGTTCACCTAGTTAGATAATAAGAAACTGGTGCCTCAGCCTCCTGTGCCTCCGGTTATCGTCCTGGAGAACCAAGGTCTCCGCTGGGTCCCCAAAGACAAGAACTTGTGAGTGCCCCGTTTCCTCTACCTGGTTTTGGAAGCCCCTGGACCTTGTCTGTCCTTGGTCCTGCCCCAACTCAACCTCTGCTAAGTCTATCTGGCCCCACTGCCCACTGTTTGACCTCTACTGGTCTTTTTCCTTTCTTTTTCCCTCCTCTTTCCCTGCCTCCATCCTACCACTCCCTCCTTCCCTTTCTTTCCTTTCTTCCCTGCCTCCTCTCTTCTTTCTTCCTTCAGTTCTGGGGACTGAATTTAGGGAGCACTGAGCTACATCTCCAGCTCTTTTTAATTTTGAGGCAGGATCTCACTTACTTGGCTGGCTGAAAACTTATGATCTTCCTGCCTTTGCCTCCTGAGTAGATGGGATTATGGGTGCAAAAGCATACCCAGCTTCCACAGAGTTTTCTATTTCAGAGTGATGTGGAGGGACTGGGATGAGTCACGGCAAATGGTGGGAGCACTACTGGAGGGCCGGGCCCACCAGCACCTTGTGGACTTTGACTGCCACTTTGATGACATCCGGCAGGACTGGACCAACCAGCAGCTCAACAGCCAGATCACCCAGTGGGTGGGTCCCACCAATGGAAATTCCTGAGCTAGGGTCAGGGAGGCTGGATCCAATAAAGAGACTTGGGCTGGTGGGCAACCGTACGACTGTATTTATTGTGCTTAGGAGACAAAGTGAAAGAGAAACTTCAACAGGAGGAAGGTAAGGGAAAGGCTGGGACCCCAGTAAAAAGAAGGTAGGTTTCTGCTGTACCCATCAAAGTGACAGAGGAGGCCCTCAATAGATCATTCCCTTTGTTTCTCCCCGGGGCTTCTTGAGCTTCTCAAAGTTCTTCAGGATGATGTCATATAACACAGCCTACAGAGCCAGGGTGGAGTAGGAGTCAGCCACGGGCCTGCAGGGTTCTCTGCCCCATTTCTAGCCTTGTGGCGAGGCTAGGCTTTGTCATCCTTTGCCTGTAGCCTTCAGGGTCAGGGAGTAGGTGGCCTGGGACAGGTGCCTTAGCCCACCCCTGCCCTGCCCTGCCCTCGCCTTCTCACATAAGCATTGCGGATCTCCATGACCATCAGCCGGATGTCCCGATACTCTGCCTCATCCAGCTCATGCACCAGCTGCCGATAATCACCCTGTGGAAACTCAGGGTCAGGCATGACTTGAAATGTGTCCTTCCCCTGTGAACCCTGACGTGGGGCTCACCTACCACGTGGGGCTGCTTGGCTGCTTTGGTTACTGCATCTCCACGCTCAGAGAAATACCTGTGGAAAGTGGAAGCAGTGTGTATGAAGCGGGAGAAGGAAGAGGGAGCCTGGGCCTCTGTTCCCAAACAGGCCAGAGTGTGTATGGGGGTGCAGGTGGCTAGTTACTCACTTAGAGATTTGAGTGTGGAAGCCTTCTAGCTTTGTGTGGAGGCTGGTCATCAGTTCAAACACCTTCTCCTGGGGAAGAAAGTAAGAAGGAAGGCATAGGAGGAGTGGAAGGAAGCATGAGCTACACAGCAGGGCAGAGGAGTAGGGGGCAATGCTCCTACCTGGACAGCCACCCCAAAATTATTTCCATCCTCAATCCGAGGTATCTGTAGCTGCAACCAGGTAGTGACCTGGGGGAAAGGCATGGCATTAAAACCACATCAACCAATTTCAGGGTTCCTACTGTCCCTTGCACCCTGCCCATGCGGGATGGAGGGATGCCAGGTCATCTTGAGCCCCAGGGCCTGGACTGCTAGCTTCACTTGGTGTGCCCTCTCCTGCTAAGATCTGGCAAGTACCATGTCCTAAATGGCAGTGACCAAGTGGACAAAGGATTCGACCTGAAGCCTGGGGGTGGAAGTAGGAGGGCTCACCAGGTTGAGCTGCTCAATGACATCCTTGATCTCAGGCTTCAGGCGCTGCAAGAGGACTACAATCTTCTCGTTACAGTTCACTGGGCCACAGGGAGGACCTAGAGAGTAGGCAGTGGGTCAGTTCCACAACTGAGCCTACATGAAGGGAGGGAGAGTGGAAAGGAATGTTTAGGGCTAGGGTAGGACCCAAGTCTCCCCCACCCATTAGTTTCAAGTACCTTTGTCTTCATCTTCCCCTTTCTTCTTTTCATCCTTGTTTTCCTTCTGCAGGGAGAGAGGGGCTTATGGGAGGCAGGACTAAGGGTGATTTTTCCCATGGCTGGGCCCTTCCTCCCAGGTCCTGCCTTGCCTCCTGTTGTTTCTTTCGCTCCTCCTTCTCTTTCTCTTTGGCTGGATCAGGTATTGGAATGTCCAGTGAGGCCTTCAGATTGTTCAGGTTGGCTTCATTGAGAGCTGGCTCCTGGTATAGGGTGAGAGAAGGGAAACTGGAAATGAGGGTGTCCCTGTCATCCCCTCACTCTCATGGTCCCCACACTCTCCTCCTGCCCCGCCTCTGATACCTTTAAAAATGCATCCAGCTCAGAAATCTTCTTGGGGAAATAGCTCCCAAGCAGGTTCTCTGCCTGAGGTGGAGGTTGAAGAGGAAGGGAATCAGAATCACAAGCTTTTCCTAGGCAGTGAGGCCAGGCTGACACTGACCCCTACCCCCAGGGCTGAGCCGAGGGAGTTGGGCACGGGTAGGGGTGCTGATGGCTGCTCTTACCTTGGTGCACAGATCTTCACGGAACACATCCACCTGTGGGGCACAGGCAAGCCTTCAGAAACCCGGCTCTAGGCCAGTTCATTTGAGAACTGTTTCCTTAGGGCTATGTAGGGCCTGACCTGGGGAAGGGTGAAGTGGGTCCCTCTAAGGCCACACCTAAAGAAGGTGGGATGGGTCCCTGTGAGGGTGACTGGGGTGGTGGAAATTTGGATCTGGGGCTCGTGGAGTGGATCCTGGTAGGGCTGGATCAGGGTTTAAGAACATTGCTGGTGGTGAATGGGGAGTGGTCCATGTGAATACATCCCTGGGGTCTCCTGGGCTTGTGTGAGGAGGGGTGTTAAGAGAGCCCTCTACGTGTGTCCTGTCAAGTGGGCCCCGGGGACCCCACCTAAGGGAGAAACCACGATGCGGCATGGGCAGTCCAGTCCCAGCTCTGTGTGGGGCCCGGGGCCAGCGTGGTTCCCCTTCACGCCAGCTCCCCGCTCCACTTCACCCCGCTGAACCGGGGTGGCTCGCCTCTTCCCCGGGGCTCAGGTGCTCAGGGCACCCTGGACTCGGTGGATGGACCGCCGACCAGGTCGGGGGCTGGTCGGAAAGGCCCTCAGCCCCTCGGAGCCACGCCCCTCGGCGGGCCCCTTCTCTAATCCTAGGAGCTTACCTTGGCTTGAGCTTCAGGCTGGACCCTGAGCGTGGCCATGGCCGGGGTAGGGGGCCCAGCGCCGCACAAGGAGCCAGGAGTGGGCACGGGGAAGGGAAAGCGAAAGCAGCACTTGCAACCCGCTCGGTCTTCCTGGGTATCGGGGAGTGGAGGGATGGGAGGAGGCGGGGACAGCCCGGGGCCGGGGGCGGAGGGCGGAGGAAGGTTGTGGGGACAGGGGGCTCCCCCTAGAGCCGCTGAGGAGCGTTTTCAACCCGCTCTTCGGCCTCCCGGCCCTCGCTCGCACCCGCCTCCGGAAGCCTCCGCGCTTCTGCCAGCCTGTAGACTGCCCGCCTCTGCCTCCGCCCCTCCCTGCCCCGCCTCCCATCTGCTGTCTCCTCACCCTCTTTCTTCTTCCCGGGCTTGGCCTGGGACAATGATATGCCTTACTTGGCGCTCTTCCATCTTTACTGACCTGGCCTCTCTGCCCTAGCCTTACCAGCGTGGCTCTCTGGCTCCACCAGGCATCCTCTGGCCCACGAAGCGACACACAGGCGCTGGCACCATCGCTGCCCAAGCCCAGTCAGCTCTTCCAGGACCATTGCTGCAATCTCAGTTCCTATAAACCCTCTCTCCCAGAGCAGCAGGTTCTTGCCTCTCTAGAATGAAATCCGAAGGCTTTCTTTCATAGCCTGCGCGACACCTGCCTCCCCTCTGAAGTTCAATTTCTGCTGCTCTCCCTCTCATTCATTACACTTGGGCTGTCCATTTGTTCTCAAAGGCATCCTGTTCATTCCTGCCTCAGGAACTGTGCCCTTGAGAAACCCTTTGCCTGAAGCACCCTTTGTCATCCAGTTCTCTGCTCAAATGTCACCTCTTCAAAGAGAACTTCATCCACCACCCCTTATAAAATATAACCTTCCAAATCTATTACAAATTAGTCTGTTTAAGTAGTACCTTCAAAGCACTTTCTCTCTAATGTTAGCCAGTTTATTTTTTGAGACAGGATAATGTGGTAGTTTTAAACAAGGGCTACTGGACAAAGTTTTTCTGTAGGTGGTCCGATGGTAAATGTTTTAGGTGTTGTGGGCCTTACAGTGTCTGTAGCAACTACCCAACTTTGCCACTGTAACAAGAAAGCAGCCCATGTGCATGAATTAGGGTGCCTGTAAAAATTTATGGGTGCTAGAATTTGAATTTTAAGTTTTCACGTGTCATGAAATATTATTTGATGTTTTTGTATTTATTTATTTTTGGTACCGGAGATCGAACTCAGGACCTTGTGCTTGCAAGGCAGGCAGCAGAAACACTGAGCTAAATCCCCAGCCCTATTATTTGATGTTTTAAAACCATTTAAAAATGTAAAAAGTACCTTGGCTCCCAAACCACACAAAAACTGGCCACAAGAGAGCCACAGTTTGCTAATCTCAGAGCAGACAATATACTCATATTGTCTGAATTTGTAATCCTGGCTCCTCTGTCAGCTGTGAACAAGTTGCTTCACCTCTGTGCCTCAGTTTTCACACTGTATAATAGGAATGCAACAAAGTCACCTTACTGGTGAGGATTAAATGTGTGAATTTATATATAAAGAAATTATAGATACTTAGAATTTAAGAGTAAGATCAGTGCAAGTGTTTGCTATTATTTGTGTGTTTATCAGCTGGCTCCTTCAGTTAGCTCATAAATTCCCAAACAACAGAAACCTTGTCTTATTCACAAGGCACAGAACTATGCTTGGCACAGTAAACATTTGTTAAATAATTAAGCACACACAGACCTCCAATAAGGGAGACAATGTCACTGCTGGGGCGATCCCTGAGGAAGGCAGAGAGGAAGTTCAGTGGAGACAGGAAAACCAAACTAACTAGGCTGGAGATGGAGCAGCTGCTCAGTGAAGACGACACACACACACACACACACACACACCCCTAAGGGTACTGTTACCTGCCTTAGCAGTGTTTTGTGGTACTGGTGAATGAACCCAGAGCCTTCATGCTAAGCTATATAGCCAGCCCTCAGCACTTTATTGTATTTATTTTTTTATTTTAATTTTTGGTACCAGAATTAAACTCAGGACCTTGTGCTAGCCAGGCAGGCACTGTGCTGCTGAGCTATAACCTGGCCCAATTGTTTCCTCAAGTGCTAGGATTATAGGCATGCACCACCATGCCTTGCTGCACCATTCCTTGGTATTATGGCCCTGGATAGGTAGCAGTCTGTAGACCAGAAGACTGAAAGGATAGTAGAAGGGGTGGAGTTCATGTACCAGGGAGGACATTCAAGACTGATGAAAGCAAACAATGACTGAGGAAACCCAGAGAGTCCCAGACCCTTTTCTTACCCTTCCCACCCTTTCCAGACCCCAAACTAAAGATGAGAGGAGACAGAGCCAGGCCTGATGTGCATTTATTTCTTTTCAGTTATGCTTGCGGCTGGAGTGGGTACGGGGGAAGAGCCCATGGCCTGGGCTCCCTGGAGACCAGGGCTGATGATACCAGCTGCCATAGGTGAGGTACCAGGCAAAGGTGCCTACTGCAGCACCCACCACCTTGTGAGTGTATTGGTGGAAATAGATGACGGTACAGAGCAGCAAGAAGTTCCAGAGACCCAGGAGTAACATGTTGAGCAGGAAGACAAGGCGCAGGGGGGCGCCCGCAGGCAACCCGTGGGCCAGGTACTTGGCAAACACTGCTGCTTCTTCGGCCATGAGCAGGCAGCAGAAGGTGAGCAGGAAGGTGTGAGAGGAAACTGTGTACCCCCTCCACTGGTGACCAGCTGCCAGGCAGCTGCGGCGATCTGGCAGCTCGTGGAGCAGCAGGCCTTGGGGCAGAGGCTCAAAGCAGGAACCAGTCAGGTCCTCGATGAGCAGGAAGGCTCGGCCAGCACCCCGCCACACAGCGGCCCCCACCACTAGTCGGCTCAGGTGCCTGGCAGTCACTGCTACACGCCGAGTAGCCAGGAATACCACCAGCAGCACAAAGCCCCCCAGAAAGGTGCATGTCCAGCCCCACGCTGAATTCACAAACTTTCTGTGGGTAGAGAAGAGGGAAGGCTACTGAGACCCCCTGGCCCCATCCTCCATCCTGGTCTGTGTTCCCATTCCTGCGTCCCTAGTCCTACACACCCTCGCTGTTTCTCTTTGCCATGCCCTTACCACCCCCAGCCATTTAAAAATTGGTATTTCCTTAGAAGACCATTCAGCATTCTCGGGTCCACATTTCCTCTTCAGCCCTACTCTTCTCCTGTACCCCCAGGCTTGGTGCCCTTCCCCCTCCCCCTGACCTTCTCCTCAACCTCTGTGCCTATTTTTAGCGTAAAGACTGGCAGGACAGCAGAAGCCTGGAGAAAGGAACTGGGATCCCAGAGCTCAGGGAGCCAGCTCCCATGCCCGAGTGGACTCACATGTTGAAGAAGTTGCCGTGGCTGGCGAAGATAGTCCGGGAGTTGACATGGAACTGCAAAAGTGGCCCAAAGATCACTACTGCTGCCAACCAGGCATGGTAGAGGCGCCGTAAGCAGGGGCTGCCCAAGAGGCGGGCGGCCTGTTCACTTCCAAAGTACAACAAGGCAGAGGCCACACAGAGCAGTACCTTGACCAGGCAGCCCAGCAGTGCCCGGATTCGGGCCCCGGCCCCTGGCCCTGCCCCCACCACCTGCCCCCGCTCCATGTTCCCTCCCCTCCCCACTAACTGCCTGCTCTGCTGGGCAGCTGAGGAGGGGCTGATGGGGCCCCCCCGGACAAGGACAGGCAGTGACAGGTGTGGGAGACACAAGGCAGAGCCCTGTTGGCAGCTGGTGGGCGGGGGAGAGGGGTGGGGGGCGGTAAGGGGCCAGGGTGGAGGGCTGCGGCATCAGCAGGGTCCTGGCCTCGGGTGTCCAGTAGTGTCCTGACAGCAGCCCATGTCCTTTCTGTTAGCCCTGTCTTCAGCTCCAGCCATGTTCTAGTTCATGTCTCAGGGCCAGGCCTGCTGTTCAGGGCTGTCCTTGTCCATATCCGGTTTGAGTCTTCCTGCCCCAGTATAGTCAGCCAAAGTCCCTCTATGTGTTTTTGTTGCACAGGAAAATCAGAGGTCATGAACATAAAACTAATAAAGCCTTGAAAGTCAGTAAAACAAATCTAGAAGGTCTGGCTCATCTCCTGGGGTCCTGAGCAGCAAGGTGGGTGAGAAGAGCACTGTGTCCACCTCAGGCTGTCGGAGGCCTATTGGCAAGGGTATCTGCTTCAGTGTGCTGTGCCCCTGATGGCTCAGCCACATTCTGGCTCCTGTCTGGACTGAGGGGCTCTCTTGAGGGCTGGGTGGCCCAGGAGTGCCATGCAAACTGGTGGTTGTGCAATGAGTGAACAAGGCATCACATCTAATAGGGGACTGTTTGTGCCTGATGACCAACAGATGAAATGTGTCTTGAGAAAGGAATCCTATACAAAATGAGGGTAACCATGTTGGATATTCATGGCCCTACAGATCAGGTTTACTCTCAGGTGATGGGGAAGAAGAGACCCTAGGAAAAAAGTGCCATCTGGAGTCCATCAAAACCTTAGGTTTGCCAGGCATGGTGGCACATGCCTATAATCCTAGTGCTCGGGAGCCTGAGGCAGGAGGATCACCTAGAGTTTGAGCCCAGTCTGGGCTACATAGTGAGTTCAGGGCCAGCCTGAACTTCAAAGTGAGATCTTGTCTCAAAAACAACAAAAAAAGCCCCTTAGGTTCTGTTCTCCACAGACCTCCCAGCCTGACCAGAGCAGAAGCAGCAGGGTGAAGAGCAACCTATGCAAGAAGTCCCTGTTAGTCAGAAGCTGTTTCAAGATCACTCTGTTTTCCTTCCTTATTCCCCAACATTGGCGGTGGGATTTCAGAGCACAGTGGAGGCCCATGAGGTAGTGAAAGGAAATGAGCAAGCAAGGACATGCAGGTTATGGACCCAAGGTATGCGACTTTGGGAAAATCAATTAACCCTTCTCTGTCCTCAGTGCCCCATTTGTAAACCGATCATGGTAGATTAGAAAACCAGTTAGGCTCCTTCCAAATCGGAAAGTTCACACTTCAGTAGAGTTGCCTTCAAATCTTATCACTTGAGTTTTGAAACTGGGCATGGTGACACATGCCTTGAATCCCAGCACTCTGGGAGGCTGAGACAGGAGGATAGCAAGTTTGAGCCTAGCCTGGGCAATTTCAGGACTTGATGAGATCCCGTCACATAGTAAACAATACAAAACAAAAAGTTTTGAAGGGTTGGGGATGTAGCTCAGCACTTGCCTAGAATACAACAGGCCTTGGTTTGAATCCAATACTAAAAAAAAAAAAAAAGTTTTAAAGATCAACAGGCCTCCTCATACTGTTTTTTTTGAGACTGGGTCTCACTAGCAGGCCTGCCTTGAACTCACTATGTTGCCCAGGCTGGCCTCAAACTCTCTGAGAGTACAGGCACGCACTACCATGCCTGACTTTACTCACACATTTTTAAGTGAATATAAAATATTTCATTGTAATTTTAAACAGTTGAAAAGGACATACTTTCCAGCGTGTTATATATGCTGACATTCGTATTATAGCACTTTATTTTTCTTGTGATGTTGGGGTTCAAAACCAGGGCCTCCCATATACTAGGCAAGTGCTTTACCACTGAGTCCTGTATCACTCTTTTAAATATATCCAATGAAATCTAAATACTGCAGCAATGAGATACCTCATAATTACCCACTTAAAAAACATGTCACAAGAGCTTAAATTGGAAATATTTCCATTCTTCCTAGGATTTATCCTGTTTTTACACTTGAGTCTTTTACTGATCATGTCATAATTATTAGTAAAAAAAGGATATAATATAAAATTTAATTTTTAAAAAATTTCCTGTGACTATGAAGTCCTAAGAATTAGTTTTTTCTTCTGCGCCGAATTTCCTTTCTTTTTTGGGGGACTGAATCTTCATAATTGTTAGCAGTACAAAATATAGTAGTACAAAAAAGTTTATAGGAGCCAAGCATAGTGGTGCACGCCTATAATCCCTGCTGCTAGGGAGGCTGAGGCAGGAGGATCACTTTAAGTTTGAGGCCAGCCTGGACTAGTGTGTTCAAGGGCAGCCTGAATTACATAGCGAGAACCTGTCCCTCTACCCCCCCAAAAAGGTTTACACATTTTGATAAGAACATAAGATTACACTGGAAATGCCTCTTACTGGGAATGGTTGATCTGTGGGGCCTTGATGACATGAGGTTTTGAGGATAGCAACAGTTTTAATTTGCCACTTAATTTAACACCCTGGATGTAATACAGGTCTAGGTGAGCTGGATAGCATTTAGTGGGCGAAGAAGTGGCAAAGGGAACTGAAAGGGCATGTGAGAAAGGAGATCTGACATGACAGCTTCACACTAGCAGATTAACTGAGGAAAGAGAACACAAAGAGGCCAAGAATCTAGACACTTATTGTTTAAATATTACTGATTTGGAGCCAGGCATGCCTGTAGTCCCAGGTACTCAGGAGGCTGAAGTAGGAGAATCATTTGAATCCAGGTGTTTGAGACCAGCTTGAGCAACATAGAAAAACCTTAATTCAAAACAAAATCAAAAACCTAAAAGAACAAAACCAAAACCCCTACTAGCTATCTGGGCATGAAATAGGCATCTGTCTTATCACTTTCCTCATTGCTGAGACAATAACCACAACGTAAGTGGGAGAGAGGTTTATTTGGGCTCATGGTTTTTAGAGATTTCAGTCCAAAACTGGCTGGCTTCAGGGCAGGAAGGGAATGGTGGAAAGGCCTGCTGAGGATGAAAGCTGCTCACATCACAGTGGCCAGGAAGCGGAGACAGAGAGAGGAGCCTGGGAGGGATGTGCTTCCAGCTCATACCACAGTAATTCGCTTCTTCTGACTACCCCGCACCTCCTAACAGCAAATCAGCTACAGTGCTTCCATGATCCAATCACCCTCCAAAAACCCTACCTCTGAACACAAGACTCTTTAGAGATACTCTAGATCCAAACTATAACAATACCCCCCTTCTACCTCTTGCTATGACAGCCTATGAGCACCACAAAAGTTTGTATCTTGGTTTGAAAACTGCTTTAGAGAGCGTGACATGCTACAGGGAAAGTTCTGGTCAGATCAGGGTGTGAACCCTATTCCCTCCTGACCTTGTTTGGTTTGCTCTGGGGCCAAAGGTTCTGAGCAGGAGGCATGTGGATGGGACGCTGCTGGCCAGGTTCTCTGGCTGTGTTTTTGAGGTTTTTTTTTTTTTTTTTTGGTACTGGGGATCGAACTCGGGTCCTTGAGCCTGTGAGGCAGGCAGTAGAACCACTGAGCTAAATCTCCCGCCCCTCTCTGGCTGTGTTTATGAGCCACCTCTTTAGTTTTCTTAGGAGGCACCACTTATGAAGACCGGAGCAGCTCCTAAGCAGAGGAGCTGCAGATATTCCTGGGCTCTAATAGAAAACATGCTTGCCCTCCATGTGTACATGCTGGCAAATTTCTGAGCTTGGTGAGGGAGAGCCTATTGCAAGCCTCAATTAATAAATGATTTTAGTATTTCCTTTCATCTTGAGATATAAAAGAGAAACCTGAAGACTTTGTGGAAACTGTTTTCTTGATGTGAGAGGACAAAAGATCTCAGATAGGAAAAACAGTGAGACAGGGACACTAAGCCAGGTTCCCACAGAGAGTTTATTGAGGGCGCCAAAGTAAAAGGACAAAGGGGTCCTACTTCAACTTCCGCCCTTGAAGCTGCTGGCCTCCAGCATGACAGGAGCCTCTGGGAAATTAGGACCTGCCCTACTGGGGCCATACGGAGCTTTGGAGACTGCTGCCCCTCACACCACAGCCTGTCTAGCCCCAGTGATACAGGAATGGTAATGAGAGACTTTATCCCCACCTCAGAAGGGTGGGGAGGAATACCTCTATCACCCTGCACTTCCCCAAAGACCTCAGGAAGAAAAGCCAGGACACCTGGGCCTCTCTCTGGCCAAACAAATCCTCAATGGGATGACCTGGGCAATGGGACTGGATGACAGGTCCACTCAGACCTGACCTTAGGTGTCTACTCTAGGAGCCAACACCTAACATCCAAACGTGATTAAAAACAGGATAGTTCTCTTGCTGGCAGAGGCTACATCCCAGATAATGGCAGTCCTGCCAGACCTTGGCCAGAGATAGGGACCCCAAGCAGACTGGCTGTGACTGCATGAGGAGACCATTCAGCCCGTGGAGTGGATCTTCCAGGGCTCAGCTGGGGCCCAGAGCTTGGGCTACTGTTTCATACCATCCAAAGCCAGTGATTCCTCCACACATTCCCCAGAAAGAAAAGGGAGGAGGAGCCAGAGAACTTGGTGAGAGATTCACCCTATAATAGGCTAAAGGTCAGAGTGATCTACTGGGGTGAGGAAAAGGCTGTAGAGGGGCGGGACATCGGGGCAGGGGGACTGGAGCATTCCTCAGACTCTGGCATGTCATCCTGGAAGTACTCAGCCTGTCGGTACTGCCACAGACGCAGGTTCCCATCCCACTACAGGGCAGAAGATGGCAAGTGTCAGGAGGTACTCCTCCTTCCCAGGTCTAAGCCCCACCTGTATAATGGACCCTAACAATTTGAAGCTCACCGAACTGCTAACAATCTTCTCTTCAAAGGGGTGCCAACTGACATCACGCACACAGGCCTTGTGGTTGGTCAGCTTCTTCACAATGTGACCGCTGAGGAGGTCATACACTGTCCAGGAAAGGCAAGAGCAGAGAGGGGCTGCCATAGCACCTCCAAACCACCCCTCAGCTGCCTGAGTGGCACCACTGACCTGCCTCTCAGGCAATTCCCACTTTCCCAGGGGGGCAAAGCTCAACCCAGAGAATGGTATTATTTCTGTTTTTTTCCCTGCTCCTTTTCATACCTTGGGTTGAGGATATGGTGTAGTGGAGTGTGGGTATCCCTGGCCCTTCGTTAAAATTCAGAGGCCTACAGTTAAGAAAATGCAGTGGCTTTAAAGCTTTTAGCAAGATATGAAGGCAGTAAAAGTGAACCCCAGGCTGTCTGCAGGTGTGTGCACCTTCAGTTTTCTGTCTGGACTAGGTACAGCTCTCTTGGGCTGCCTGGGACTCTATCTCAGTACCTGCCTAGGTGCAGCATGCAGGCAGCTCCTTCTGTCCACAGCTCTGCTTCTATTTCTGTATGTGTGTTCCTCCTGCTTCAGTAACTACCTATCTTTTCTTACTCAATGCTGTCTTTCTGTGTCATTCTTTTTGCCTGTGTTCCCTCCTACCTTTTATCTTCAACCCCTTTCCTAAACTGTCTAAAAAACAGAACCAGCTATATTTTATATTTACTGACTAGAATTCTATGTCCCTTTTCTTATTTTGAAGTGTTCATAAATAGAATGTTTTCCCTTTCTCTGTTTAAGCCTTCCTTGCTCTAAGCAAAATAAAATTTCACGTGTAGTTCTCATTAGGTCACTGTGGTTCTAGGTGGAAAGTCAAAGAAACATCCTGCCCTTCCCAAGGCCTGACTGACATAATCCTTACCAACCACTTTGCCAGTGGAGCAGCCACTGTAGATGAACTGCTGGCCCGTGCTATGGGTAGGGGAGAATCGGCAGCGGATGAGGGTGTGTAGCACCCCATGACCCCGGTAGGTCATCAAGGAACTGTCCCCTGGGAGCTTCAGCTTCCGCCAAGCTGGGTAAGGATATAGAGAGTCCTAGATTAGGAAGTCTGCTTCTGGACTGTCCTGTACCCACAGCCCGTAAGAAAAAGACTCAGGGTCAACTGCCTTCCAAAACTTAACTATCGACTCTTTCTCCATCTAAGAGTCGGCAGTCACCAGTATGGCCCTGCTGTCTTGATACTAAACACTTTTGTACTGGTTCAGCAAATAAAGGGTTAATGCTTGGACAAACAGGTTGTGGCAGGGCTCCAGGATTCCCAGGTTACAGATAAATTCACTGTGCCCATGCCAGGTCCTATCAGTGATGAAGTATTTTAACTAATACCCCTGACTCTCAATCTCCAGAGCTCAATTCTACTTCCACTCACCTTTTTTGGGCACCTGCTGCCAGCGATAGTCCCAGTTTTGCTGTGTGGCTGCCTGCCGTGAGGCTTCCATGCCTTCTCGGTTAGAAAAACGTCGGATATCCCAGAGCTTGATGGTCTGGTCTTTGGAGTTGGAGATGAGATACCGAGCATCACCCTATGAATCCAAAGACGAATAATGGAGTACCAGAATGTGCCAATGTCAGTGCCAGTTGGTCTAGTCCCCTTACTCTAGCTGCAGGGTAAGAACTCTAGTCCTCTGACTGCCCTCACCTTCTTCTTCCTCTAAGTAACCTTGCCTTTGATGCTCTGTTTCAGATCCCACCCCCTGGATAGGCTTTCCTTTCTCTATCCAGAGCACTGGTTGGGGATCCTATTCTGTCCTTATTAGACTGTCTTCTACATTTCTTATAAAGAAAGCCTGCCCTGCAGCTTAAGGACTGGTGGGAAGAGGGAGCTCATGTTTCCTGGCTTAAGCCCCTTTCCCAAGCTCTTAATGCCCTGGCTAATAAGGAGTTTGTCAAGTTCTCACACCAGTCTATTTTTACGCCCTCCTGGGAAACCAGAACTGTAGCGGCCTGGCTGTGCAGTCCTGCCTTCCTGCTCACCTTGCTGTCAATGAAAGTGATGCCATCCTGGTGTCCAGCCAGTGCACCCACAGGCTTGGGGTCATCCTCTCGCATGGTGCGCCGATCCCACACTTTGCAGATGGCATCATCTCCTCCAGAAAACAGGATTTGGGAGCTTCTATCAGCAAAGGCCACTGCATTCACATCATCCTCATGAGACTCAATCTAGGGGAGAAGGAAATTGGTATACTTAAGATTTCTTTCTAGTCTTAAAACAGACCAAAGAGCAGGACTCAGAAGCTCTAAATCTCAAGAGGAATACCTGAAGGGTGCGCCGGTTTTGTTCTCGGTCAAAAACATACAGGCAGCCATCATTGGCCCTGAAAGGGAAGGGATAAGAACTGAGAGGACCGCTGCTATGTATGCTCTGGAGAGTCCTGCTGAGGAGCCTTACTGAGGGGCAAGGAGAGGAGTTATTTGGCTTTGTTTTCAAAGAGGCCCAGGACCTGCCATTCATGCTGTGGAAATGGTAAACAAGAGGTAAAGCAGCCCATAAACCTTGACCTTGGAGAAGGCTGTTCTGCACAGCTACCAGTGCAGTCTCTGTAACAGCAAAACTGATCTCTGGCAGATCCTCTATGTCAGTAATCTAGGGAGAAATCCCCCATAAAGACTCACCCTCCTAGTACTTCTCGTCCATCTGAGGACACAGCAATGGAGAAGACAGCAAAGCGACGTTCATCTGGCCTGAAGAGAGCAAAGGAGCTGTGTTAGTGGACTTCTCTTCCACATCTGTTTATCTACACAGAATATAATATAAAGAAGAGGATGAAAGGGGCCTGACAGCACATGCTGGAATGAGGATCACCTTAGTGAGAACGCAGAAATAATCCTGCAACCATCTATTTTACCCTAGTCCTATGGGTGAGAGGACAGGATGGATGGTTTCCTTCCAGGAATCCACATAGAGAAACTTGCAACCAATATACTTTTCCCTCAAAGTGGGAGCTCCAGTTTAAGAGGTTTGCTCCTGTAGAGCTTTGCTGGAGATGAGTATGACAGATGGGAAGCCAATACCTTAGATCCAGAGCAGTGTGTGTGTCTCCTTCCCCATAGATGTTGCAGATATGAACTAAGAGAAGCAAGAGAAACAAGAATCTCTCATGACTTGGGGAAAGACAGTGGAAGGAGAGACAGAACAAAGGGCAAGAATGTCAAAGAACCTTGAAAGTATTTTTACAGGACAAGGCATGGAGTCTTGGCTTAGAGAAGGGCACATGGAGATATCCCAGGCTGGAGAGACAACGAACATCTGGTGCATACTCACTATAATCAGACCAGCTGGAGTACAGGAAGTGGTTGCCATCAGGGGTGAAGGCCACATCCAGGACACTCCAGCCTACGTCCCGGGCCTTGATGCTCTTGAATTTGTGGAAGCGGCCATATCGGCAGTCATACAGTCGGATTGTCTGGTCTATATAATCAGGGATCAGGTAGAAGTATGAAACAATGGCCTTTCATTCAGTGTATTTTTGGAGTATTACCTTTATCATGGGAAACATGCTCTAGCTAAGCCAGGCTCTGAGTTCCCTGTGTCTGGGGCTTTCTAGTCTCAGTCAAGGGGAGTTTTTCTTGTTCGGTAGAAAGGCAGTTTACAGGACCAGGGTCTGGTACCTTGGCAAGCAGACATGAAGATCTGACCATCTTTGCTGTAGATGCCACAGAAAGCCTTCTGAGAGTAGGTATCAGTGAAGCCCAGATTGTTGGGCAAGAAGCTGGCAAAGCAGAAGGAAAGTGGGGGTCAGGGGAGCTCAGAATGAGGAGAATCCCAGTTAGCAGAATGGAATATCAGTATAAGGGCATTCTT